TTAAACGATAGGTATAGTAACACATTAAGGCAATTAACTTAATTTAGCTGTAAAACGTGTTCTAAGGCTTGTACTCGAAAAAAATGCACCATTTTTATCCGTGTGTAACTTTGTAATCCGTGGGTAAAAATTGATGAAAATCTTGGTATAACTAGTTTGGAGTGAATTGTTAACATGTGAAAAATTTCATAACAATCGGTTCAGTGGTTATTGAGATGTCATCGAAACAAGAAGAAAATCGTTGGAGAATTTTGCGCGCCGTCATGGAAAATCCAACTGCGACCATGAGAATCCAACTGCGATCATGGAAAATCCAACTGCGACCATGAGACGGAAGACAACTGGGAATCACCCATACAACTGTGTCTCGGGTGGTAAAATCGTTTACGGAGTCCCAGACGACCGAGCGGCGGGCTGGAAGTGGAAGAAAATCGAAGACAGCTGACCCTGTGAAGGCCCGGAAGGTGTTGGATTATTTCAAGCGTAATCCGAACCTTCCGATTCGCGACGCGGCTCTGAAGGCAAAGTGTTCCGCCTGGTTCATTCAACAAACCATGAAACGAGCTGGGCTTCGTGTATTCAAGGTCCGGAAGGCACCGAACCGGCGTGATCAACAAAACAATTATTATAACAAATCCCGCGCAAGGAAGCTGTATCGAGAGTGTGTGGTTATGGATGACGAAACCTACATCAAAGCAGACGCAAAGCAGATACCGGGGCTGGAGTTCTACGTTGCCAAATCACGGTTTGATGTTCCGGAAGAAGAAAGTGGACAAATTCACCAAAAAATGCTTGCTCTGGCAGGCCATATGCCAATGCGGTAAACTGAGTAAAGCGTACATCACAATGGGTACCATCAACAGCGAAATTTATCGCACCGAGTGCTTCCAGAAGCGTCTGTTGCCCTTCCTGCGGTCCTACGGAGATGAGACATTATTTTGGCCGGACCTGGCATCATGCAATTACGCGCGATCGACGTTGGATTGGTACAGAGACAATAACGTTGTTTTTGTACCAAAAACCGCCAACCCCCCAAATTCACCAGAGATTCGTCCAGTGGAAAGATTTTGGGTCATAAGTTCGAAAATCGTCCAAGGTGTTTAAGAACGAGCTTGAGTTGAAGAAAGAATGGATGAAAGTGACCAAAAAGGTTGGCTCCACCATTGCACAAAATGTAATGAGGAGTCTTAAGGGAAAGGTGCGGGCTTTCAGCGATGGAAAGGAAATTGAATAAAGTAATTATGCCGAAACATAATCCATATGTATTAGTTCATTCCCTGAAAGTTTCAAGAATATCCGACCTAAATTAAATTTTTGGCGAACACTTTTCTCTGGTGCTTTTTTTTCGAGTACAGGCCTTAGATGGTTTGGAAATGTACCTTCATTTCCCTTTTTTTCTCGTTCTTGTTCCGACCTATCTAAACTCACAGCAGCGTTGCCAGAATGTTTTAAAGCTTATCGGTATCAAAGGTTTTAAAAAATCGGTATTTATCGGTATTTACTATTTTCATTAATTTCTAATGTTTGCCGTTTTTGAAAGCAAATTTTTTTATCTTTTGGACTATGATCGGAAAATTCCGGAAGAAAACTCCGGGGAATGTTTGAATTAGCTTCTGTAGGAAACTAAAAATAACATCCAGAGAAAGAAGCTCTCCTGGAGGAAATTTGAGGAAAGTTCTGAGAGAAGTCGGAAAATCATCCGCGAAACTTCCAAAACATAAATTGAGAAACTTCTGGCGAAAATTTAAAGACACTTTCAGAAAAAAAATCGGATATCACATTCAAAGGAAGGCAGAAAAGTTTCGGAAATCGGAAATAAATTCCAGAATTAGTCATTTACAGGGGAAGCCAGAAGGAGCTCGGAAAAACCTTCCAATAGAAGTAAAAAAAAAAACCAACAGTACAAAATTCCAGAACTAGACGAAAGAAATTCCTAAAGTAGATTGGAAAAAAAATCTGGAGGAAGTCGAAAGCCAGAGCGCTAACGGAACAGTCGAAAGAAGCAAGGACATAATTCCGGAAGAAAGAGCTCTTGGGGGATGTTCTAATGATCCAGAAAATTTTCCAAATTGTCATAAAACATCCTTGAAGACCCCGCAATGCCTCTGAAGTATTTGAAACATTCCTGAAATGTACTTAGGAATATTCCATATTTCCTCGGGCTGTTTTGGAGTACTCTGATCATCTTTGAAATACTTGGAACTTCCTTGATTATAATGAGACTACCGGAATATCTCTTATCAACTATAAAGATCTCTAGACTTTCTTGAAGATTAAGAAAGTTTCTAAGCGCTCTCACAATTTTCTTGAATTTATTGTAACATCATCATTGAAGTTCTCTGGTCTTCCCGATTTTTCTAATTTTTAAAAGTTATCATCACCGCAAGCACGGAACTTCCCATAAAATTTTCTCACAATGTGCTAATGTTTATGTAACTTCCCTTACGTTTTATAAATTTGCATGAGCCCATCGGAACATTGCAGAAGTTTTCGGAAATTTATTGATCTGTCCTGATGTTCTCGGAGCTTCCTAAAGTTCTCTCAATTCTCCTGAAACTAATGGAACTGTCCTGAAAACCAATAAATTTTCCAGAAGTTCTTTGGACTTGTGAAGTGTCCAAAATATTTATGATGTTTCCTTAAGTTCACTGGAGTTCACTGGACCGGGGTTTAGAATTTTAACAGAAGTTATTGAAACATTCTTCAATTTATCGAAAATTACTCAAAAGTCTGGACTTTTTTGAAGTTTTAGAACTTCTTACAAGTTCCTGCAGCTAGTGTGGATCCGCAATCAAAATCTGGAAGCATCCCTGAAGTTCCGGGAAAGTTAAAAAACTGGCGGAAGATGGAAGAATCATTCGAGCGAAGACTGAAGAAGCTCACAAAGGAAGTCGAAATAAGTTTCTGAGAGAAATCGAAAAAAAATCTACGATGTAAGGTGGAAGAAAATTCAGAAAGTTAAATAATGTTTAAAAAGTATTTACCGAGTCCCCCGGAATTATCAGAATGAGTTCGATTGTTAATCGATTTATGAGTTGCCAAAAACGGTGAGGAAATCGAAAAATAATCGATGATTTTTTTTTTTAATTTTGAAGGCTCAAAAAATTTGAGATATTCAAAAAGATACAAGTCTCTCACAATAATTTTCTCCAAAATTAGAGCGTGGGCAGGCAATAATAATTTTGATTATTCAATAAAATCAGTATTAATCGGTATAAAACCTCAAAAATCGGTATTCTGAGGAACCTTATCTGTACATCGGTATCTAGATCGGAAATCGGTATAAATACCGATAAATCGGTATATCTGGCAACGCTGACTCACAGTTCCGTTGAACCAAATCTGACGTCTGCATTTTTGACAGCGACCGTTAGCGTAGCTCTGCTAATCTCCCACAAGGTTGTCGCTGGGCTTGGCGGTACAGGGTTATCCCGATATTCCGAACAGCCATGATCCATAAATTAGACGTATATTATTCACGTTTTGAACACTATATTAATAATTTTGATCCACAAACCATTGCTCCATTACAGCGTAACTACTTAGATTTACTGTCCTGCCGTGTTTTTTTTTAGGTAGAGGTGCGGAGCGATGGTCAAGCGTCTAGAATTAGCTTCTATAATAATCTTCTTAAGAAAATATGAAAAATTAATGTTAATTTTATGGGTGATACCTAGGGTAGGTGTTCCAGTTATTGGTAGACGTTCTTATTATGGTGTGTTCCAATGATAGTCTATGGGATATACGTATGTTTTTCATGTTTTGGACCCTTTTTTAATATGATCAATAAACCTTCGAAAATTGCTACATTACTGCGTAGCTACTCAGATTTACTGTTCTGCCCGTATTTTTTTTTAGTCAGAAGAACGATGGGCGAGCGTCTAGAATAAGCTTCTAAAACAAGTTTCTAAATGAAGCTTCCATGGGAAGCATCTCAAGAATATTATTATAGAATCTTCTTTTGGAATCTACTTCTAGACGCTTGCCCGTCGCTTCGCACCTCTACCTCAAATACACGGGCAGGATAGTAAATCTAAGTAGATATGCAGTGGAGAAATTTTTCAAGGTTTATGGATCAAAATTAAAAAAAAAAAATAGTGTCCTAAACATGAATAATATATGGATATTATGGATATATGGATCATGTCTATATTTTTAAGTGCGCAAACTTGAATTTTTATGGATCACTTTCTTTAGTTTAAGGTTCACTGCGGAATGTGCTATGGATAGATTGCAATATGTTTATGGGTAATTCGTACAATTTCAATGCTCATTCCTCAGAAATTTAGCAGTACATTTTTACAATTGTGTTGCAACATTGCACATAAAATATTGATAAAATTGATATTTTTTATGGATCATCCACACTTTTGTAAGGATTTTCTCCGATGTTTTATGGATCATTTCGATGTTTTTAATGGAACGTTTCTCAATATTTTATGGATCGTTTTATCAATTCTAAAGGTGCATACTTAGGGCTGCCATTTCAACCCCCGTTCCAGACCCATTAGAACTGCATCATTAATATCATAATATAATCATTATTAATAATAAAAAAAAACATGTTCCATGATTTATGTGCAAAATATTGTAGGAGAATTATGGATCCCGATTATCATACTTGATCCAATTTTCACCCAGTTTGGTTTTCGTATTTTTCACAGAGCATATGTTTTACCATATTGTTTACTAATTTTAACATTGATTCCAAGGGGTGCTCAACTCTGCACATCTAAATCTGTGCCGATAGCTTTATCTGTGCCAAAAGCTGTGCCAAGCGTTGTGCTAAAAGTGCCGGTGTGTGGAAATCAAGGTGTCTATCTCATTATCTCATAAGTTTGGCAACGCTGCAGTTGTGACTTTTGAGATCGTTTGCTTACAATTTCCAGTTCTACCGTTCAATTTCAAGAACCGTCCTTGAAAAAAACGGAGGAAAAAAGTTATGAACATAAATTTCAATATATACGAGTGCCTGTCCTGTTGAAATTAAAACGAGCATAACATAACAAGCGTGTGTCATTCCTTCCTCTTGTTTCAACGATGCCAAACGAGTATTTCATGAAGGAACTAACAAATTCGATCACAGTAGAAAATATCATGTTTTGTTTGCAGCAAGGCTTACGAGTTCAAGTACCACTACGCAAGCATCCTCACAAGCATATGTAGATTCTGATCTTTGATTCATCTACGAATGACGATGACACTTATACCAAGATTTTGGGCTATTAGTACGGCCTCCATAACTGAACTAACCCGGATAGCGAAGGCGGACCCAAACCAAACCATGGAAGAAAAAAGGACAAGACAGGGAGAATCTCCATTTATACTATTAATATGGTAAAAATTGTAAATATATGATGCATAAAAATATTTGTGGCACATCATTTCCTCTTCCAGAAAGCCGAACTCGGGGCTGCTTAGCATTCAAAGTATCAAGTTCATTCACGGATCTGGCAATCTCCGGAGTAGAATTAATTGAATGATCATTCATTCTAAATCCTTTTTGTTTCCGAACTGATAACAGCGAATAAGGCCGATGATCCGATTCCTATAAATAATGAACTGCAGATCACTCCTGCTGATCCGGATATTTTGAACGAATCCGGATCTGATGGCCCATCTCTAGTATTGACGGATTGTTATACTTGTCAACGTGTTCCTTTACGTGCCGAACAGTGCGCCATACTGTGTTTCGACACAGTGTGCAGAGTTGATTACCCCTTGATGGATGCACTAAAAACCACTTCCCTTCTAAATAATTGCACACAAACACTTGTTTAAATGAAAATCTGTTTCAGGACCGTCATTGCGCCAAAGTGGATTGTGGATAAACGGTACTGCTTTGATTTCACGATTGAATAAACTTTGTTCTGATCAACAACTTATTGAAAGCAAAAAGGTAATCAACAAGCTTTAGAGCTCTTTAATTGTTTTAATCAAAACAATCGGATAATCCTCTCCGAAAACACAAAAAGTCAAGAAGGCAATTGAAATCTATTTTGTACAACCTCAGCATTAATTACTCACATTCTCAAAAGGAACGGTTTATCGCAACCACCGCCTGCACCACCCTTTTCTAAACCATTTAGATGAAACATTTAATTAATCCCCTCGTTGCAAAAGCACTTTAAACTCTCGGAAGTCCAATACTTTTACTAATCACTCCAATATTGTAGCCCTGCGCTTGTTTACACTTCAAGCTACAACATCCAGCACGTTTTAGAAACGATGAATGAATTGACGTCAACTTCAAAGAAGCGGTGTCCCATTTTGCTTGCCCAGCGAGCGACAGGGGGGGAGTGGGCCTGCAGAAAGTAAAAATCAATCCCATCATGATGCTTGAATGGTTGTTGTGCTGGTCGTTATATTCGAGCTACTTTCACTTTGCTCTAGAGTTTCAGTTTAATTAATTTAAGTGATTCAGAGACGCGCTTCCGTTTATCGATTCGCCTGAGGACTTTCCTTCCAGTACAAAATGTATTCCGTTGCTCATTTATGTCTTCACACAGCTTCCTGATCGTCGTCAGCTGTGCTGTACCTGTGCTATACGGTCACCTCCTGGATCTGAACACGTTTTTTCAGCGTCGAAGTACTACCGGGAGCCATCTGCGGGTGGCCAGCATTGGTCATGGATCCTGTGAGATTCCCGCTACCACCATGGCCAATGGTCCCTCCGCTTATTCCAACGATAGAACCTCCCCCAACTGCACCACCACCCCGGTTACCACCATGCGAGTTATGCGAGTGGTGATAATGATGGTGACCACTATTACCTAAACTACTGTTACCACTACCGCTACCGATAAAATTGTTACTACTATAGGAGGAGCTACCGGGACCTGCCACTTTCGGATTAGTCGAGCTGACCAAGTCCACCGTGATGACGTTACTATTCAGGCCACCGCAAGCATGGTGGTGAAGATGATGCCCGTGGTTATTGCTGCTGTTGTGGTTGTTGCTATTTACAAGGATCGATGCCAACGGGGCTCCCGTTTGGGTAGACGCCGTTGAGGCCGACGGAGTGGGTGACGGTGAAATGGATGCCGTCGTCGTCATTGCCGCCGAGGCATCGGTCGTGGCGCAAGATACCGGCGAAGATGAGGAAGCATTACTGGACGATCGAACCGGAGGCAGTGGGGCCGATTTCGAAGATCTCGGCAGGGTCTGACAGTAATGATGGTGGTGGATTGCTTCCGGGATGGCCGTCCCAGAGCTGTTGGTACTGCACGACTGAAGGTGATGATTACAGGTGGACGACTCGTTCGGTGCTATTGTCAGCGTGGTCGAGTGCTGGTGGTTCTGCGGGATGAGAAGGGAAAAAATGCAAATTGTTAGTAAGTCGAGCCACTGGCAGCACTGACAGTGATATTCCCAGAAGCATAGTCAAAACAAAGCCATATCATGAGGCAAATGACAACCCGACGGAGTGAAACAATTAACCTAATTAATTTGGCATTAAATTGACTGTCATCTTGATTTGGCATCATCCTTGCACGGGGGCAAAATATATGCGCATGTAATTAATGACGCATGGATGGAATTATCCATCGCGGGTAGTGGCTGATTGGAGAGTTGGCTTGTTGGAATTAATGGTACGGTCGTAGGTAGGAGATATTAGCTCTTATATGATGAAAGGTGCCCACGGGTGGTTTATTGGAGATGGGATTTCGTATGGATGGCGATTATGATTCTGTTGACAGGGTGAATATGAATTGAACGCAAACAGTATTTATTGCTGGGGGTTCTCAGAAATGTTGCTTAAAAGATCAGCATTTGATGTGGATTCCTTTCTTGGCCATCTTTTTTATGATATTGATTTGATAGAATTTGCTTATTGTAATGTAACAATGCACAAAATTATAATAATATTTTAATTCTAAGCGTATTTAAGAACAATTTTTTTTGAAAAATAAGGTACTGCTTAGTCGATTTTATATATGTTTGGATCATTAATTAAATTAATAAGACATCACATTTCGATTAACCCTGTACCAAAATGATCTACATCTGCTTCACGACAGTACATTAATAAATAGTAACTCAGTCCGCATCGTGTCCTCTTTCCATGCGGATCTATTGATTGATTGTTTTATTTATTTAAGAGACTTTCAGCCGTGGGCTGGTTCATCTCAGTGTGCGGCTCTATGTGCTTTTTGCTGAAGGAAGTGCAACTGCTACCTAAAGCTACAACAAATTAAAACAGCACTTTTCGGTGTTCAATATTACTAGCAAATTTTCTACCTTATTCGACTTTTATTCCTCTTCGATCCTTGGTTGGACCCTGCCCGAGGTAGTCCTGCTTTGATGTCGATTTGGAAAATTCCTCTTCAAACCTTCTGATCTTCATAGTAATCTGAAGGAACGTTTTACTACCGCCATGGCGCCTAAACGCAAAAGAAAAAGGAATTTCTTGATCCCCTTTCTTTTTTTTTCTTTGACTTGTATACAGTCGATCTTGTTTTCTGTACTGAGTACCAATGCTACCGACGCCAGGGAGACAGCTCCCACACCTGGACCCTACCTATCGACCCATCAACTCATGAACCAAGGACCAACGGCTTTACCGTGCCAATCAATTTGATATGCTTATTGATGATGAGAATGATCCATCATCCAGGCAAAATTCCACTAAACTTTCCAGGCTTAATGCCAAGAAGGAAAAGGTCCCCCCTATTGTGGTAACGACTTCCGATTTCCATGCTCTTAGCACGGAACTTTTGAACTTCGTGAAATTCAAGTTTTCACTTCAAATTGGTCATCGGGGTGAATGCTGTGTATTGGCTGAAACCTTGGACGGATTCAAACGTCTTCTCAAGTATCTTATTGAGCAGCAACACCAATTTTTCACTAACGACACCAACACTGAACGTTTGTTCAAGGTTGTCTTGAAAGGTCTGCATAGTGGTGGACTCAGATCAAAATGAAAATGGAATCCCATCCTGACGATTCAAGCAACGGGATTTCCAATGATTTTTATTTAATTTAACTTCAGTGCCAGGGATGTGATAGTTGCGTCATGCCAGTTAAATGCAAGAATTGTGGTGATTTCTCTCACGTAAACGACGACTGTCGAGTGAAGGAAGATTCTAAGAAATTTAAATGTTCAAATTGTGGTGAACACCACAAATCCAATTTCTGAGAATGTTAGATTCGAAAAGCGATCCTACAATATCGTTACGTAGGAAATGCTCCACGTTCCCGAACAGGTACTTATTCCTCTGCTTTTAACAACGGTCAAATTCTACATTCGTACAAATAGCTCCCCTACTGCAAATTCTTCATCTATACCTGCTACTAACAAAGTACAGCATGAAAATGGAGCTATATACGCTGCTTTTGCAGCTGGTATAAATCGAAATCAAAATCCTAGCCATCATAATTCTAACGGAAATGTAAATGATTTTAACTTAAGAAGATTTACTGCTCCTAAAATGGAATTTAAATATCAAAGAACACACGATCCTGCCATGGAAGTAATCTGGTGGGATTTGCAAAAACAAATTTAATAGCGATTCTCTGCCCAGATGAACAAAACGTTTGAAAATAATGTTTCAAAATTAGAATCAAGCTCCAACCCTTTTTGGAAGCTCACAAAAATTTTGAAAAAGAAAATTAAATGCCTATTTCAGCGCTTATAGATGATGGTAAAATTTTGATCACAAATTCGAAAAAAAAAGTTCAGAAACTTGCTAAGTGATTCGAGAATTCCCAAAATTTCAGTTTGGGTCCTACTAATCCTATTGAGAAACAAGTTGCACGGGACTATCTGAATATTTTCTCTCGGTAATTTTTTTTTATTATTCCTCGGGACTGATTGGACGAAGAAGGTCTAGTAAGTAAGGGCTACAACCTGGAAGGAGTGGAAACCTAATTCTGGTCCTCACAAGGTCTTACTTCACGCCTCCCCGAGTCATAACCAGCTAAAACATGAACACAGCTGGGTGACGTAGCCTGGGCAATGTTGCCAGTCCAGCAGTAGCAAAGTGAAGAGAGGCGACGTGAACACTGGCGCGGTAGCCACATTACGGTGATATAGGAAATGCTCCACCAAACCCGAGCGTCTGTTCACCATGGAGGTGCGGCTCAAAACGGCGTCTGTTGTTCATGTTAGGAGCGGCTGATCACCGTCCTAGTGCCAGCGTGTGACTCTAAACAGAGCTGTGCACGATGGTCCCCCGGCGAGACAGGGGGTTGGGGCAGGCCCAACAAGCCGCCCTGAAGAAAAAAAAATGCAAATATTGAAGAAAGAAATACGAATCGGAACAATCGGCACAGACCTACGCAACGAAATAAGGACTACGATTGGAAACTCGGAACATGGAACTGCAAATCGCTCGGCTTCCGGGGCTGTGATAGGTTAATCTATGACGAACTTCAACCACGCAATATCGAAGTCGAAGCACTGCAGGAACTTTGCTGGACGGGATATAAGGTATGGAAAAGCGGGCATCGAGCGACTACTTTCTACCAGAGCTGTGGCTCCACAAACGTGCTGGGAACCGGCTTTGTAGTGCTGGGTAAGTTGCGCCAACGCGCAGCAGCTGGAAGTTGCACTACCCACGGAAGAGCAGCTTGGCGCAGCTTCTCTTGAAGATAGCTGGAGGGACATCCGTTCCGCCATAGGTAGTACTGCTGCAGCAGCACTAGGTACTGCAATTCTGGACCGAAGAAATGACTGGTTTGACGGCGAATGCAAACTGTTAGTAGAGGAGAAGAATGCAGCACGGGAATACTGCAACACCGCACGAAATTGAATGTGGAGCGATACAAACAAGCGTGGAACAGACAAAACTCGGTTTTCAGAAGGAAGAAGTGTCAGCAGAAAGACCGAGACCGCGAGGTGTAAACGACACACGGAAGTTCTACGAGAAGCTAAATAGTTCGCGCAAAGGCTACGTTTCGCAAGCCGATATGTGCAAAGACTTGGACGGTAACCTTTACACGAGCGAGTGTGAGGTGATTGAGAGCTGGAAGCAGTACTATAGCAGTATAGTACAGCAGAAAACGAAGGTGGTACGGCAACAGACCTTGGAGCCCGCGCAGAATACGACAGGCTACCGGACCGTGATATTCAAGAAGTTGAGGAGGAGATCGGTCGGCTGAAGAACAACAAAGCAACTGGTGTAGATACACTACCAAGTGAGCTATTAAAATACGGTGGTGAAGCACTGGCTACAGCGCTGCATTGGGTAATTGCCAAGATTTGACAGGAGGAGATATTACCGAAGGAGTGGATGGAAGGTGTCGTATGCCCAATCTACAAAAAGGGTAACAAATTGTATTGCTGCAACTACCGTGCGATCACTCTGCTGAGCGCCGCCTACAAGGTACTCTTCCAAATTCTATGCCGCTGCCTGTCATCATTTGCAAGAGAGTTCGTGGGGCAATCCAGACGGGATTTATGCGTGCCCGTGCTAACACAACGTGCCCACACATCATTTGTTCATCAATTTAAAATCCGCTTACGACACAATCGATAGAGATCAGTTATGGCAGATTATGCACGAGTACGGATTTCCGGATGAACTGACGCGATTGGTCAAGGCGACGATGGATCCAGTGATGTGCGTTGTTCGAGTATCGGGGACACTCTTGAGTCCCTTTGAATCTCGAAGGGGGTTACGGCAAGGTGATGGACTTTCGTGTCTGCTATTCAACATCGCGTTAGAAGGTGTGATCAGAAGAGCAGGGATAGATGGCACGGAACTTTGAGACGATGGCGGAACTGTACATTAGACTGAAGGCTGAACGCATCAAAGACAAAATACATGAAAGGAAGAGGTTCTAGGGAAGACAATGTTAGCCTCCCACCCCGAGTTCAGATTGACGGTGACGAAATCGATGTGGTCGATGAGTTCGTGTATTTGGGCTCATTGGTGACCGCCGAAAATGATACCAGCAGAGAAATTCAAAGACGCATTATGGCAGGGAATCGTGCCTACTTTGGACTCCGAAGGACGCTCCGGTCGAATAAAATTCGCCGCCGCACGAAGTTGACTGTCTACAAGACGCTGATTAGACCGGTGGTCCTTTACGGCCACGAGACCTGGACTATGCTCGTGGAGGACCAACGCGCCCTTGGTGTTTTTGAACGGAAGGTGTTGCGTACCATCTACGGTGGAGTGCAGATGGATGACGGAAAGTGGATGATGCGAATGAACCACGGATTGCACCAGCTGCTGGAGAACCACCCATCGTCCACATTGCAAAAATTGGGTGACTACGGTGGGCTGGGTACGTCGTAAGAATGCCGCACGACGACCCAGTGAAAATGGTTCTAGAAAGCGACCCAACAGGAA